CTATGAATTCATTCTAACACATGAGTAATTAATTAAAATTGGGGCTTTTTAAGTTGTGATTCAAATTGTTTCATGATATTTTTTTTAAAAATATGCCTTCATGATTGTGAACTAGTCTAAAAGTTTAGAGATGCATTGTATCATTAGTACTGTTTTCCTTATGTATCATATGGTTGTTTTTATATATTACATGTACATGTACTTATCATTTCAAATCCATTTATATCTTCTTTTTAGTTTGTTTTTTATGAAAGTTCCAAGTTGAAAAAAGAAATTAACATTATTATACTGATATTTTTTTTCTTGTCTTTGTTTCTATTGACACCTAAGTATAACATGCAGAATATGATGACACAATAATTCTGAAAAATATATGCGAATGAATGGTTTTCTTTCAGTGGATTAAAAAATTTAATTGTAAATTAAAAGGATTTGATTTTACATAACTTATTGTATAATTTACATAACATGTATATGTAATATTTCTAGTATCTAATTAAAAGAATGTTTGCAGTTATTTGGCCTATCGTATAATGCATGTTTAATATAAAAATAGTTAAAAACAAGACTTGTGTTGAGTTTGATGTTATGCAGAAATATAGATACTAGAGGCTGCAATGTAAGAATTAAGCGATTTCTGTGGAATTTTTCATTGTAGTCAAAGTTGCAAAAACAAAATGTGCAGTACATACAACATTTTAACCTTATATTTTTAGCTCACCTCAACGAAGTTGGGGGAGCTTATGTAATACCCTCGTTGTCCGCGTCGGTGTCGGCGTCCCAGGTTAAGTTTTTTTGAGCAGTTTTCTTTTTAAGTACTTCTATGTCCTATATTGATTAGACATGCATGGAAGATGCTTCTAGTACGTGTGTTTCATTGTACCAGTCAAAGTTTCAGATGCTGCAATTTCAGCAGAGGAATGACCAGGTTAATGTTTTTGGAGCAGGTTAACATTTTTGGTGCACTATTTGGTGTAGGTCTCATTTCCAAGGAACTATAAGCCCTATGTTGACCAAACTTGCATGGATGGTACATCTAAGGATGCATACTACCAAGCTTGCTTCGGATGCTGAAACTGACCTACATTTTACGGTTGAGTGAACAGGTTAAATTTTTGGTGCAGGTCTCATTTCCAAGTAACTATGAGCACTATATTGACCAAACTTGCATGGATGATACATCTAAGGATGCATACTACCAAGCTTGCATCGGATGCTGAATCTGACCTACATTTTCAGGTTGAGTGAACAGGTGAAAGTTTTTGGTGCAGGTTTAATTTCCAAGTAACTATAAGCCCTGTGTTGACCAAACTTGCATGGATGATACATCTAAGGATGCATACTACCTGGCTTGCTTCGGATGCTGAATCTGACCTACATTTTCTGGGTGAGTGAACAGGTTAAAGTTTTTGGTGCAGATTTCATTTCCAAGTAACTATAAGCCCTATGTTGACGAAACTTGCAAGGATGATACATCTAAGGATGCACACTACCAGGCTTGCTTCGGATGCTGAATCTGACCTACATTTTACGGTTAACTGAATAGGTTAAAGTTTTTGGTGCAGGTTTAATTTCAAAGTAACTATAAGCCCTGTGTTGACCAAACTTGCATGGATGATACATCTAAGGATGCATACTACCTGGCTTGCTTCGGATGCTGAATCTGACCTACATTTTCCGGTTGAGTAAACAGGTTAAAGTTTTTTGGTGCAGGTCTCATTTCTAAGATACTATGAGCCCTATAATGACTTAACTTGCATGGATGATACGTCTAAGTATGCATACTACCAGGCTTGCTTCGGATGCTGAATCTGACCTACGTTTTCTGGTTGAGTGAACAGGTTAAAGTTTTTGGTGCATGATTCGTTTCCAAGTACATGTAACTATGAGTTCTTTAATGATCAAACTTGCATGGAGGATACATCTTAGGATGCACACTAATGGACTTGCTTCGGATGCTGAATTCGACATTTATTTTTCAGATAATGGACCAGGTAAAAGTTATGGGTGCAGGTCTATTACCAAAAAGCTATAAGGCTTATATAACATTGTATAAACCAAGCTTGCACAAATGGTGCATCAAGGGACGAAAACTATCAAATTTGCTTCAGATGCTGGATTTTAATTACATATTCATGAAGAACTAGTTTGAATTTTTTATATAGGTCTATTTCAAAGTATCAGATCAAAATTGCATGAATATTTTCATTTTTGGATGTACACTTTTTGTTGTGTGACTTTGCCTTACTTAAAGACAACATTCGTTGAAGTGAGCTCTGTAATCTCTGATTACCTATGTTTGGTATTGTACCAGATCTGATAGAAATACAAAATCTGCAATGGCAGGAACAATTCTTTTTAAGGATCGTGTTTCAAAAAAGAAAATAGAATGGAACTGAAAATAAAAGCCCAAATATTGACTGTTCCACCAAGTTTATGTTACAGTTTTGGGGATCATAATTATTTCAATATTACCATTCTTAGTAGTAAAGAATAATTTTTGAGCTTTATATCATTTGTTAATACTGTATACAGGGTTATTTTCGCCCTGTCACCTTTGGAAACAAGTTTGCCCCGTTTAAAAAAAGATTTTTTTTAAAGATATTAAACTATATTTGCATGGAATTCGCCCCGTTTTAAATTCGCTCACCTCCGATGAGGGCAAAAAGGGCAAAAATAAAACGGGCGAAAATTTCCCTGTATACAGTAATTGTGTCTAATGCTGTAAATTATATATTTGGAGAGAGAAAAAATGAGCCAAATTTGGTCAAAGTATCCTTGGATGAAGAGCTTGTTCATATGAGAGACCATGTCCACTTCCAAGAAAAAGGCAAATATAGGGTGGGGTTATAAAAAGGAACTCTGGGCTGTAAAAAATGAAATTTTAAAAAAAAATTGTTCAAGCCTTGACCCAAGTTGGGGCTCTAATGATTATATAGTGAAAATGTGTTTATTCTTTGAAAATCTTTTCCTTTGCTCCTGGATAATATGCCAATGATCTAAGCACATATTAATGATGATGGAAGGTGCCTCTTCCAAAATTGTTAATTTCAAGGCCCCTGGGTCAGGGGAACTTGGGGTTGGTTACATATAGTCTGAAAATAGATTAATGCTTTGAAATCTGCTCTTTGGTATTAATCAACCATCTAAGATGAAATAAAATTTCCAGAATTTTGAAATATGTGCCCCAAGGGTCAGTTGTTCCTGTGAGGTGGGGTACACAACTTGTTAAAAAGCAAGGCCTTGTCACAAGAAATACACATCTGAAATATGACAAGATCAAGTTATAACTCCAACCAAATAGAAGTTACAGACAGTGTTGAAGATTTTGTGGACAACAGACAGATAGACAGGCAAAAACTACCCCATTTTATACCTGGTATGAGTGGAGACACAATGCAGAGCTCCCTGTATGTGTCGATCACTAGTAGCAACCAACAGAAATGTGGAAACACTTTGTGAAGGTCATTTATATGAACATCACCAGCCACTTTGTAACCATGGGATATTCAATGTCTATATATAAAATGCACTTACTATACTTTAATTGAATTTTTAGTATATATTGTATGATGAAATGTTAAATTATGGTTGTAAGGGAGTTGTTTACACAGTTAAGTAAGGAAAATACTTGAATTATCAAGGAGGTTGTATTAATAGTGACATCATAGAATGACAAAGCATATTAAATTAAAGGGAAAAAAAGTTTATCGATACTGTGTAAATGGGAAAAATACACAAAGCTTTACAAAATGAAGAGAATAAATAGGAAAAAAAATCAAGCTTTAAAATTTGTTATCTGCAGATGTTGAGCCTTTATAATTGTGTGATTTTATACTACAAGGACCTTTATCCTATTTGTAAATTTGCATAGCAAGGCTCATAAATATACATGCATTTATCATCTCTGTTATTGGATTAAGCTAATATACCATAAAATTAATACGTTAATTTAGTATAAATATCCTATACACAAGTAGAGTATAGGTGTGGATCTCTGTTCTAATGTTAAGGACAAAAAGAGTACCATCTGGACTTTGATCTCTAGAGATCAGAGAGATTTTAATCCCACCATTGCTGTATAGATCTATAAAAAATCAGAATTCAATCCAACTGTTGCTGCAGATCTATAGAGATCAGTGAGATTTTGATCCCAATATAGTTGCAGATCTTTAAAGATCAGACTTTTATCCCACTATTGCTGCAAATCTATAGAGATCAGACTTTGATCCCAAATTGCTGCAGATCCCACTATGCTGTAGAGATCACTTTGATCTCACTATTTTGATCTTTATCCCACTATTGCTGTAGATCTATCAAGATCAGATCAGACTTTGATCCCACTATTGCTGTATATTTATAGAGATCAGATTTTGATCCCACTATTGCTGTATATTTATAGAGATCAGACTTTGATCTCACTATTGCTGTAGATCTATAGAGATCAAACTTTGATCTCACCATTGATGTAGATTTATAGAAATTATTCATTGTTACCACTATTGTTTTTGATGCTTGAAAGATCAGACTTTGATCACACTATTGCTGTAGATCTATAAAAATCATACTTTGATCAAACTATAAAGATCTCTGTAGACCTATAGAGATCAGAATTTGATCAGACTTTGATCAAACTATAATGCTTGCAGTAGATCTATAGTGATCAGACTTTGATCCCACTATTGCTGAAAATCTATACAGACCAGACTTTGATCCCACTATTGCTGCAAATCTATAGAGATCAGACTTTGATCCCACTATTGCTGAAAATCTATGTAAAGAGACTAGACTTTGATCCCACTATTGCTGCAGATCTAGAGGTCAGAATTTGATCCCACTTTTGTTGCAGATATTTAGAGATTTTAGTTGGCATCAAGAGGAGGCTAACCTTCTGGTTTTAATCGTAAATATACAAGTCAATGAAAGCTATTAACAATCTTGTATATAAACACATCCAAGGAGAACATCTTACACATAATTGTTCTACAGAAATCTAAGACATAAAACTTGGAGGATCTAACTTTTTTAATTCAAAAATGCTTGCAAGGGAGAGTAATAAGTCAACTTTTTGGAAACAAGCCTCTTGCTGAATTTCACCATGGATTGGAGAAGATTTACCATAGATTGCACAAAATTTTACTATAGATTGGACAAAATTTCAAAATGCATCAGACTTAATTAACAATGAACTTGTGATAGATTTTTTTTATTATCGTTAAACATTGCATTATCCAAGCATTTGTGGAATGTGTATAGATATGTAATATTGTATAAACATTTCAATCCTGCACAATATAAATTGCACAGTATGTTCACTAATAAAATATTTATTTTGACATGTTTAATTCATAACACAATCCTAAGAATCCTGTGAATCCTTTTGGAGTGTCCATATACAGGTTTGGCCAAGGCCAGTCATGGCTATCACTTTATATCCTCTCTTCTCTAGCTTGTCCAGTATAATCCTCACTGGGTCTTCAGAAATGTATTCTTTGCTGTAAACAGAAATCTACACATGTATATTCCTCATAAACTAAGCACACAAGATTGTTTCAGTTATTAATTTTTATCTATCCACATGCAATTAAGCAAGCTGCAAGTGATAGTGAGGGACATTAAACTATATCTTACAAGTTATTTCCTAGGGCTTTTGTTAATTTGGCTCCAAGATATTCCATTAACTCTGGATCACTCCATTCATCTCCACAAACCGTTGGACCAGTTTCCTGAAAGTATAATTATTTAAAAATTCTAGCTAACTATATACATGTATATTAAGGAATCAGAGAATATATATAGATCTATAGGTAATAGCAGGGCATAGAAATAATAATAATTTTAATTTACATTTATTAAAGAATTAAATATACAAAAGCAAAATTTATTTCTTCTATACACTTTGCAATGGAGTAAAAATCATTCAAACTGCATGGCTCGTTGCTTTATAGGTAAAAGAGAAATTGTTGCTAAAATTCTTTTAAAAAAGAAGCAGTGAAAATTATTCTTTTTTAAAATAAGATTTCTCAAAAGCCATTACCAGTCTTATTTGTGTACTAATCAAGACAAAGGGCATTTTATTGTACTACTGCTGATCAAGAGAATCTTTATAAATGCCTCCTCTTCAGTTGTCACCCTCTGTGTTTATACCAGAGTAATCTCCCTTGACGCACTTGCTTTACGAGTGTTTACACCTGCATCTCCAAAAGTACTTCTTCAGTATCACAATTTTCACTCGAAACAATTTGTCTAGATAATTTAAAGCATCGTCATATCTTTTCTATGCTTCTTTTTTGATGATATCACCACAAACACAATATCTTGTATCACAACTTACAATGTGTTTTCGTTGATGTCATGCTAGAGTGAACTCCCTTTATGCATCAGAGTTCACTTCCGGTGCGTGTGTTTACATCTCGAAGCTTCATCACTCCCCTCACTCATGTCGTAATCTTTCGCAAGATCTCGTCAGATTCAGGATGTCAACGTTCCTCAGACATAATTCTTTGTTTCTAGGCGGTTTAGGAGCGGGAATCATTGTCGGAGTTGGTGGGTCACTGATTTATTTTCGATTAACAACGAATGTTGATAGAGAGTTACGACTTATTTCTGAATCTATTTCCAATCTGAGGAAAGAGGTTGAGGAATTGAAGGAGAAGGTAGTCAAACGAAGAAGGAAGAGCCCTGCATTCTATGGCACCACTTCCAGCAGTGGGGAGACGGACGATGACGCTTATGAGGATGCCTATGGAGGGTATGCATTCTATTTCGAATTTCCTCTTTATCCAAAAATAGATCTACTGTTGAGAGTGAAGATGTGGCAAAAAGTATATATACATGTACTGTGCTTTTTTTGATTGAGCAAATATAGATTTTCCCAAAAGTAAAATAAAACTGACAAATAAAACGTTAGTACCAGTGATTTGGTTGGATTTCTTTTCTTTAACTTTTCAACTGTCAGAATTAGTAACAAGGTAATTTTCAGTGCAGAGGTTCAGAGATTAAATATCATCATTATTATTTCTATTTAAGGTCAGATTACGAGTTCCACAACTTTCATGACCTTCAGACAGAAATCCATACACAGATGAACACAAGAATCGGCTGGGAAGAGCAGGGGGAGGAGAAGAAGGATGATGATGATACTTTCTTCAAGGATGTTGACAAACTCTTTGATGGAACTGATGAAGATAAACTAAGAGCTTATGAAATGCTAAAAAATAACAAAGAGAAGGTATTTGAAGAAACAGATCCTTTGCATTGATCAAAATGATAGGAAAATCTACAATGATGTTTTGTTACTGAATATTATAAAGATCATTTACAAGTATATCCTAGTACCTGATAGTTTGCATTTGTGCCAGAATGAAAACTTGACATATAAAGAAAAAATTTAATTATCAATGCACTGATTTATCTGAATATTATCCTCAGTATTTTTGTATGCATATTATTGTTTTGTAGTTTGTTGACAATGTGGAGTATTGCTGGAGATTAGCCAAGAGTACATACCAAGTTGCCCAGATTGAGGGGAGCAGGGGGAATCAGGATAAGAAGAAACAGTTGGTGTATGCTTCAAAGATCTGTCTCAGAAAGCAGTGGCCATGGAGGAGAAATGTGCCAGTGCCCATAAATGGTAATGTTCAAGATAATATCTTATTTGAATACAAAATTTTGTAGATGAGAGTGGGATATATAAACACACTGTAACTTAATCTCAGTTATATATTTTGTTCATATTTATTGTTTAATTTAGATTTTTGTTGAAAAAATGGATATGGTTACTTGTAGAAAAACTTAATTAAACTGTCTTGAAAAATTAACTTTTGCAGGTTTGCCATAACATTAGGAAGTATTGGTGATTATGAGTCCACACAAGAGAAGATTAAGAATGGTTATATATTTAAGGTAATATTAATGTATACCCACTTATATAAATATTCAAGCATGAATTTTTAAAAAAGTATAATAATATAGTGGTTGTAAGTGATTAGCTTATGCAGTCATATTGCTTTGATCATAATTTTTTTCTTTTTCACTCCTCTGGGGGCCAAAATTGGACATACAAAATCTTACATCTTTTGCAGGAACATATAGAACGTGCAATACAGCTCAATCCAACAGACCCATCTAACCATCACTTGTTGGGCAGGTGGTGTTACGGGGTAAGAACTGCAGAAAACAGTGGAATTGTTTGCCAAGGACCTTCATACTTGATCAAACAATCCTACTTTTATAGATTTAAATAGACATAAGAAGTGTATTGTGTATGTTTTTCCATATTATTTGGGAAAATTACAGTCAATATTTCTTTTTCTTTTGTTTTAGGTTTACATGCTTTCCTGGATAGAGAGGAAGGCAGCAGCCACACTGTTTGCCACGCCACCTACATCTACTGCAGAGGAGGCCCTCACTCACTTCCTGGAGGTAATAACCATATGAATCTGTCTCCATAAACAAGAAAGACAAATTCTGTTCAGAATTTTCATATTAATAATGTATACTTTTATCTTTATATATCTTCTTAAACGTGCTTGAACACAGATTTGAAGTTAATATTTTTCTCAAATATTGGGTATAAAATAATAATACCATATGGCTTATATGTTTCTAAGGCATTTCTCACAGCATTTCACATGGAAATAAAAAAAAAAATTAATTTTTCCTGAAAATTATTGAAACTACGAATTTCTGGACACATTTGATTGACACATCTTTGCACTTTCTGAAGACAAATTATTTTCTGATTGTATAGAAAGCTATATATGTAAATGTCAATGAAGAAAGAAAATGTGATCAGAACTTTTAAGCAAGATGATGAATTTTAGAGTTTCCTCCCTTTTTACAATACACTTGTCTTTCTCTTTACAGGCTGATCGTCTTAACCCTGGTAAATGGAAAGAAAACCTTCTGTATATTGGAAAGGTAAGAACATTAAATCTTTTATGATATTCATATTATAAAATGATTTATTCCTCAAGTTCATGAATAAAAATAAAATAAAGAAAGTGACATTTTTTGAATTGTATCCCTTTGAGTGACTTATGTTTTGCTCTCATTTGATTATGCATTATTTCAGTGTTACTATCAGATGTCAAAGTATAAGGAAATGACACAATGGTTAGACAAAGCAGCAGCTATTCCTTCAGTCAGTCAAGATGTAAGTCAGAAAGCTATGTAAAAGGCATACTTCATGGGGTCTTCAGATTTGTTAAAAAACCAACATTCTTTTGATACTTGCATGAAATTCAAGAGATAGAAACAGATAATTCTGGTTCTAAATTATCAATGATGTTAAGTACAATATTGTAATTGCATGATTTTCTTGATAATTTGCCTTGATGAATTTATTTTCTTTAATAAAGTAAATAGAATTACCAGGTATACAAATCTACTAATAAAGTCATGTAATCAAGGGTTAAGATTTCCATGGTATACATTCAAAAGACTCTTCTATACTGCTATCAAAATAATTATCTTTAGTTTATTACCATTGCAGGACATAAAGGCAGAAGAAGAAATCCAGACATTAATGAAGTACCAAGTCAGATGAATTTTTATAGATTCTATTTTTTTCGACTTTAATTTTTATGACGCAATCAAAATATGGGACCAAATCACTGTTGTGAATTCTATTGTGTTGTGTTACAGTTCATTGTATTGTGATGCTTTTTGTTTTATTTACTTCCCAATCTATTTTTTTAACACTTTTTAAATGCAATCAAATGACAAATCCTGTGCAAAACCAAGAAAAAACACATTTAAAAGACTTAGTGACTGTTTGTAGAGTATTTTAAGATCAAACAACAAGTTAGGTAGATGTGTGTTTCACTACGTGATTATATTTGTTTTGACACTTGTTAAAAACTTTTACGATATCTGCACACTAGAGTTTGTTCACACATTTTGATTATTTCATCTGATTCATAGAAGAAATTTTTGTCAGTGTTTTCAGAATTATATTGTAAAGCAAGCACATTTAAAAGTCGCATGTATTTTCTTCTCTTGTTCATCATTAATAATGAAAGAAAAATAACTTTTCTCATAAAAAGATACATTTCAAGATTTACAATAGTTTGCATACATATTAATAAAGGGTCTTGCAATTCAGGATATTTTAACAATCAACAAAATATACTTTTGTAAAGATATGTACATGTGTATATTTGTGTATATTTAAAATTGCATATAATTTGCAGGGTTTTATTGAATTTTTGTTTATCTGCAACATAAAGCTCAATTTTATGCTTCATCTAACACTTGGTTGTGTTTAACAAATAAAATGCATAATTTTTTTTTGGTCCCATATTCTTTAAAAGAACATTGTTTTCCTAAAGAAGTTCATCAGAATTGTTTTCAGAATTTTTTTCATTGTATTGCCACAAAAATGTTTTCAGTTTAAAACTGAAACAAGAGCATGCAATAGAATAGGGCTCAAAATTTGTCAGTAAGATTTACCGTGTAATTACAAATACTTGTACATCTATATTTTTTTCTTTTGATCAAAAATGAATATGTATATGTCACAAGGGCTTAGAACTTGTAGTTAATGACCCCAAAGTTTTTCTAGGCTGGTGAATGGTAGATATTAATGGTAACAACCATGCAAGTAAAAACCTTCCAAAGTATTGAAATGTACCCAGCTGTAATCAGTAAACGAAGAAACTGCTGTTTGTATTAATAGTGATTTATAGAAAATTACATTGTAAAAATAATTTACATTTTATATTTTTTTTACAAATATATAATTATTGTCCTGGTAAACATGTACATTGTTTTTTGAAATTTTAAAAAGTATGTGAAATTACATGCAGCTAGAGAGATATGTAAATCTTTTAAAATGTTTTAACAATTTATAAGATTATACCATTTAATAGTGATATTAAAAAGATGTAATGTTAATAAATTAAAAATTTTGATACTCAGTAAAACTGTATAGATTTGGTTATTTATATACCCAGTATTTTATCTGTCTCTTTTCTAGTAATAAACTATAAGATATACCTGTCTGACTGAAATATTGTTGTAGAATCACAGTCCATAAAGAAACACCATAATGCTCATCACAGCCACAAGTAAGATCTGTTGTGAAATGGTTACAGGTATAGGAATTTTAGTCAGAAACATATTTAAATTTTTTTTTTATACTTACACCTCCCTACAAACAAGGGAGATTTTCAGTTTTCATTTGAAGGGGGGGGGGGGGCAAGCAAGTTGCGGCCTTAAAACTCTCCTTTTTATCCACAACCCAATGAGGACATGAATATCATGAATATTTAGGAATATATCTGTAAATAAATTCTACAAGAACTTGAGTTCTGCAGAAAAAAGATATTTCTCTACATATACAATGCTATATTCTTGGATGGTTTTTTGAAACATCTAATGTTACATAGCATGGTGACATTAAGAATCTTGATTTGACATGCATGTTTTATTGGTATTTAAATTTAAAACCTTGATTCTGTGTCATGTTCAATTGTAATTTAATTTTATTACTGAATAGTTCCTTTACCATACTATAGTATGTTAAAAAAATTCTTATTCCCTCAACCCACCCACCCATCCCACCCCCCGATATATATTAACCTCAAGGGCAACAATTTATAGATGCAAAAATAAAGATTCGTGCAGTTGAACATCGGACAATAACCTAATGCAATTGTATTTACAACCAGTCATGTCAGTATTTTAGAGCATGTTGGTGCCTTCTGTCTAAGGAAATTAAAGAATTGCACTGAAATACATGCACACAGGTGCTCGTGGACAGAAACCTCCCTCTTCCCGAAAATACACCCAGGGACCAAGGATTATTTATCTGCTTTCATAAATTCGCACAAATATGGGAAATTATTTTCAATAATTGATAGTAAAGAAGAATAAACTGGTGAGGGAGGGGGGAGCTTTTTTAAAATCATACGATTACCCGCGAAATTATTTAACAGAAAATTCTTTAAGAGAAGGCTAAAAAATACTTTCTCCACTGATACATGTACTTTTTAGACTCTAACACGTTCAAGGGCATTAGAATAAATTTCACTTGCGAAACAAAATACCCGTACTCTATAATCTTTGATTCTCAGGGCCAAGAGATCCTTGCTAATGAAGCATAATAAGTACTGACCTTGGCGTAGACAAAGACGTGAGATTAAATTTCATTAAAACCAAGTATTTACTGGAACTTAGCACGGTAAAACAGTATCTAAAAATCTCTTGAACTTCAAGACTTTGCCAAAATGGCATATTTTTGAAATTAGTGAAGAGTAAATTTTATCTTATATATTTTGCTAAATATCTAGAGATTTCCATGGCCAAACTGGACACTGGTTCTTGAAATTGAGTTATCATTGGCTACGAACACGTTTTCTACACTGAATTTCAAATACATGTAAACATTTACTTCCACTAAATATTCTATTGACACAAACACTAGCTTGTTTCTCTGTATTTCGGTCTGTTTTTGCCAATGTTGTGATGAAACCTTACATCGCAAGTGTCAATCAGTTCTTTGTTTAACGCCTATAAATATTTTCTTTGATAAAGTAGTCCCAGGTTTGTCTTGAAATGACGAATCGCAGATGAATCTATCATGTGTTGAAGAGGTTACTGGTTTGTTGGATCTTTAAATTTTATCTTCCCAACACAAACAAATAACTGATAGAAATCATACGTTGCTGCATTTATTGAATATTTTGAACAATTTATTTAATAGATCTACAGTAACTTTAAATGGGAGGCATACAACCTGACACCCAGGGTGTGAACAATGGGAGTTTCAGATGTAATTTATTGAGTCCTTTGTCTGCAATGCTCCTTCTTTATGGGAATTCGTCGTCACATTCTAATTTAACAATTCAATAACACTCAAAAATTACTTTTTATCTGATAATTTGAAACAGTTATTACAAAGCATTGGGAAGTTGAATACTAAATCTGACTGACAAGTTGTGTGGATAATTTAGTATTCTCAGGGCAGGGTGGTTTTTGAGTGTTATGCAGTTTTAGATTGTAAGGAAGGAAAATGGAAATGTCGTAAGTTTAATTAAAATTTAATATCTAACATTTTTTGAATAAGTTTATTTTACGTAAAGGACGCGGTGATATATGTAGCAATTAGGTAAAAAAATTCAATTTATGGAATGCAAAAATTTCATTTGAACATAAGCATTAATTCAATATTATCGGTGCTCTCTCTCTCTTTCTCTCTCTCTCTCTCTCTCTCTCTCTCTCTCTCTCTCTCTCTCTCAGTTTGCACATAAACATTGGTTTGAATTTGATTCAGCAGTGAAAATTTATGAAATATTCAATTTAGAATTACATATCTATTTTTTGGGTTTAATGTATAAGTAGATTAAAAAAATATATTTGTGTATCTCTTTCAGCACGTTTTTCTCTTTATTATAAAAACAGTTCAATTTATTTCAAATTTTCATTAAATCAATGTTTAATTATACAAATAAAAACATATTTTTTTAATATAACTAAATATCTCACATCTGTTCATTCTTTATATATATATATAATTTTTTTTTCGTTTATATAAATCAAACCTCAAATCTTTTATGAATTGTGAAATCACTTTGAATATCCACTTCTTGTATGGTTAACCATTAATAATTTTTTTGTCCTTAATATTTGGAGTTTTTAATTGATTAAAAATCAAGTTTTATTAAACATAAAATTGAGGGCAGAACACTTACAAAAAAAAAATAATAAAAGAGATAGTGTGAGTGTAGGAGAGAGACAAAAGAGAGAGAGAGAGGTAAGATTTATAAGATAACGATTATTTTCTCCAGAGTTTCAACACACTTCTGGTCTACTCTCAAAACTACACTGGTCCACAAAATCTAATAAAATATATAACCTTGTATAGAATTAGTTCTTGAAGGCTACAGATCCTTCTCTCTCTCTCTCTCTCTCTCTCTCTCTCTCTCTCTCTCTCTCTCTCTCTGATGTAGAAAAAAGTTCTAAATTTATCGTCGATTTTTTTCTTCGTTGTTTTAAAATTGAAAATGACAATTTAAAATACATTATTTTGTTATGCATAAAGAAAAATTATGCCCCAATACACCTTATTTAACCAAGATATATGTTACTTAATTAAGGAATTCATTTCTGATGTTCGAAAAAAAACCTGTAAGCTCTTCTCTTTTAATATAGATCTTGATCTTTATATACCATGTGTTTGGTTTTTTTTTTTCAAATATGTGAATTTAGTTGTATGTGTCTGAATTATCTGCATGCATAGTTGTGTATATGCATATGTTAGCTTGTACTCACTAGAAGCTTGAAAAAAAAAACATGAGACAAACTTTTAACCAATTTTTCTAGGTTTGTACAGACCTTACAAGACAATATATTTTGTAGATATTTGATCTCTGATATCAGAAAGGTCTTTTTTAATAATTAATTTAATTCCTTTCTCTCATATTCATTTAACCCCGTCCTCTCCTTTTAATTATCCTACACCCACGTTATCTTTCAAAGACTATAATTCCACTCATTGTTATAAATTCTAGGGCCAGATTTTTATGGTTTACAAAAATACCTTGAAGGACCATCATAGATTGATCCCTTTAAAACAAACCTATCAATGGGCGTGATTTGCCTTTACCTTTTCTTCTGTCTTCTTTGGTTTTGTTATTTCAGAGTGATGGAATGCAGATCTCTATTGCGTTATAGCCCAAAATCGTGCATAAGAGGACTTTTTCTGTTTCTACCTATACATTTCCAATGTTTGTTTAAAATTTATAAAAGCAGTTCAAAAGAGTGAAAAAAATGAGTCAGAGAATTTACGAATCTTGCATGCACAACTGTACTTTTATGTGACCTTGCTTTATTTAAGTTAAATTTAATAATTCATTGCATCTTTAAAAAGCTGGCGTCAAGTAATAAACTTGTTCTTAATAGATCTTTAGACATTGAGCGTTACAGATCTTGTTAACGTTTTCAAAATTGTTAGAAAGTCAATTAAAGCCATTTCAATAATTTACATAACTTATCCTATAACTACCAGAACTTAATTCCCTTACTATTATGTAAATTCATTCGTCATTTATGCTAAATTGTTCGCTTCTGTGGGATTCGACTTCAATTTATTCTTCAAGAATGCTGAATATGTGCTTCTTCCACTTTGAAAGGAGGTGGGGGGGGGTACTATGTATATTCAAATAAAATGAAAAGTGTAAAGTATTCACAAAATATAGAAATGGATTGCCAACTGAATCACCAACTGTGTTCAATTGTAGGTTTATGTATGGTCATCTCCATCAACCGTCGTTCAATATTCATCTCTACAAATGAAAGAAACAAAATCATATTTGATACACAAAAGATTTATCAAAAAATTCTTTTACCCATTACATTTATGCATGCTCATTTATAAAGTCTAGCTTAACGAGATAACAAAAATCATCTTCTTCTATCATTAATTATAGTCCAAAGTAGAATGAACAACTGCAAAAATTATTTCGTGATAAATTTATCATTCCAACCATTTAAAATGTAATAAATCATTAATATCTCTACTTGACATGGTTAGAATGGAGTTTAATCAATATGCGGACAATCTTTGATGCATTTTATTTAATAGTTTCATCGAAGTTTTATTTAAGTGCCATACTAATGGGTTTGACATGAAAATTAGATGGAAATTTCCATGCAAAGAAAAAATATTCGTTTAAAGATTTCCTCGATGCCTTTTCGAATTCATTAACAAAAAAAAAATTTTCTAAATCCCTCCCCCTATTATAGTGTAATCTTTATCATTAATTCCAAGAAATTAGTCACTAGGTTTTACCGGATTTTTCGTATAATATTCAAATGTTCTCCTGACGTAACTCGCCACATCAAGCCCCCCTCCCACCTACCCCCTCCCCCCTTCCGAGAACAATAAGCATTCTTTGGGACTCTCTCGCCTACTGACTCACTACCGAAGCTTAACTGAAACTTGCTACGAAAAGATTTTTTTATAATAAATTCATAAATAGCCGTAAAGATTCGCAGATGTAAAACATAATTAAAAGACATTGAAGAATAAAAGAAGTGCTTGAGTAATTTGACAAACTTTTTGGTGAAAAATATGGGGTTTATAAGAATTTTGTCAATACACGTATTAGCATTTCTCCTCCAACAGATCTAGGTTCTAGAGGTATGCAATCATTGTATCGTTAATTTACTAAGTATATCCCCTGTAAATATAGTGCAAAAATAAAATTCTTTTAATGAAATCTTTTTTATCAATAATTGGAAACAGCACACATCGCTAATAATTTGGTTCGCTTCTTTTGTTTGTTCAAGCACACGACGATTTATGGCGCTATGATTTGACAATTGGGTACTTCTGGGGAAAAAATGAAATTTTTATTTTAAAGATAATTTTCATTGTCAATTATATTTTGTAAAAGGAGATTTGAAGCCGAGAAATAATACGTTGTATGACCTTCAGAGTACATGCCCCCACTTAAGTTTAAATCAACATGCTAAAATCTTTCTGCATCTTTTGTAATTCCATTCTTCGTGATACGAAAACAAAAGACTTTTATGTCAAAAGGTACCTTAAAACAAAGTTCGGCGTTATGTCTTCAATGACGACACAAGAAAAAACAGCGCCTCTTTAAAGTTCGTGCTATATAAATACTCATGGACATGTTGATACTTATGGTTGGGTTGACATGTTAGAATAGTGATTGATAAAGTATCAAGACTTATTTATATCAAACAATCCGAAAAGTGGTATCTTTGTTAATCGATTATGAACTGATCATTATGGTCTGACCATATATCTATAAATAAAGTTTCGGAATCATATGAATGTTGTTTTAAGCAATTGGCGATTGACGTCAATCGAGAAATACCTCTTGAAATTTAAATCAATTTCGGAATCAAATTGTAGGTTCTTAGCGGAAATATCAAAGTCTTGGAACTTGACCTTGTATTTAAATCATTTTAAGGACCGTCCCGTAGCCGTGAAACGTATCAACAATGCAAAACACTTCCGATTCCAATTTTAAAACAGCAGGCTATATTTAAATGAATGATATGAATTCAGAATCAGTTCTTCCGAAATATCTGAGGCAAACGTTTCGTTGGGTTCATTTTTTCAGCAATTTCTTAATCCGAGAATCGCTATATTAATTTGTAACTTTTTAAAACTTTTCGAAAAGGTATGCTGTGAGTTTTTAATGTGATACATAAATTGTCTTTTAAAACCAGAGATTTCTTTGAAATGACATGAAATCAACCGAGTCTAACTTAAATCTCTTGATTTTAATTTGAAATATTTGAAAGTAAAGTACTTTAATTTTGCCAAAGTTTTTCAACATTTATCCTTGAAATAGAAATGTTCTCTTAAAGTACGATCATAGTGAAATTAAATGATTTTTCCCAATGTCTCCTGCAGTTTTCATGTTTATTGCCATATAAAGTGGAAATTATTGGCAGTAATTTCCAATTTCGAGATAATTTATACATTTATGAGAATGTAGCAGCTAAATGGTCTCTTTAATTTTTTTTTTTCAGAAAGAAGATAAAATTCACAGCAGTTCCAGATTTTGGTGAGTACTTTCTACATTTCTTCAAATTTTAATTATTTAAAAAAACCCGGTCTTTTAGTCAAATGATTATTTTTTTCCTAAAAAGTAAAAACGGTGAAAAACTGTGACACATTGTAAATTCACGTTTTGTGTCACACGAGACATTGTTTGCACGAGGAGTTTGAAAAGATCAGCGGTAACATACGGCAATCTCCTGACTATTTAGAAAACCTGACAGAATTTTGTCTAAGTTAAATCCCTTTTCTGTTTTCCGTTCAATATATTGGATTCTTACTGTGATATACCCTTCATTTATCTTCCTTTCCTTGCTTAACGTATTAACACAGATCCGACTCTTCTTAGACGACTTTTGGCGACTATCATTGTTTACGGTGTTATCAGAATTGTTAAGCTGTTAATTTTCTACTGTTCATCCTTTTTATCAACAGAGACAACGTCAACAGAAGACCAGAACACAACAAGCAGTCAAAGCAAACAGACAACGACTCGACGCGATGGCTCTCAATGTTCACCGTAACACTGTGTGGACACAGAATACAAACAATATTGGACATTTAGGGCTTCACAGTGAAACCAGAAGTTTGACTAGTACCAAAAATACTTGTGCCAAGAAACATTTTGGTGTTCTGATTACTGCTTTGAATAATAGTGAAAAACAGAATTTCAGAATCATGAGTGGACATAGGCGTGAATTGGAACAGTCATTGCTGGCTCTTTCTCAGAGAATGCGAGAAATCAACGAAAGTAGATTGTCGTTGCCTGCTTCTCGAAAGACTTCTTTTCCACATAAAGACTCCAGGTCTGTTTCGGATGCAAGCACATTTTCGTTTGGATCATCAAGGTCTAGTGTTTCGTCGTATAATTCTTTCTCGAAATACATTGGTCGAAGACTTTCACCTGTGAAAGGGAAAAGAAAATTGCGGAATTCTTTGGATACGGAGACTAACAAACCAGAAAATGTAGAAAGAAGGGAGCGGCGCATTGCGACTATTTCTCCGCCAGACGTCGGGGAGCTTCAGAAAATGTCTGAAAACTCATCAGAACTTTCTGAAAAATCTAATTTCTCTTTATCAGACTTGCAAGAGAGAGTCGCTTTACGCAAAAGTTGCGTTCGTATCACTCCATTTCCAGATCTTCCACCCGACACCGAAAACACAGATAAGGAGGAAACATCTTCCATTTCAGTTGACGAAACTGGCAGTACCACTACTCCAAGACGCACTTCGCGTAAAAGATCTAAAGCAAGAAAGAAGTCAAGCAATGGGGGTATTGAGGAAGCCTCCGTTCACGAGCAAGAAACGGGTCAAACAACCCGCAATAACCCACATGCAAGAATGATTGCTCTGCAGAAACTTCAAATTGAAACGCAGAAGAGAGCTGCACTTGCAGAAAAGCAAAGACAGGAATTGATCAAGAAAAATCGCAAAGAGGTGACGGAAAGTTTTCGTTACTCCCATGCCATTGAACAATATCTTATATCAAGACGACAAAATTCTAAAATTACCCTGTCTGAGGTCCCAGATGAAGTGGAGTATGATTCTGAGGGACGGGAGATTCGCCGACTCGGACCTTCTGTTTTGTCGGTCATCAATGTTGACGACATATATAGAATGACAGTTCGACGCAGACGTCACACGACAACAGGTCTTGGGGAGAAACGGCCCAGTTTCTACAGAATGAAATCAAGAAAATCGATTGCTTCCGTTTATCACCCTTTGCCAGACATAAACAAGGAATCCAAAACAAACTCAGTTGAAAACCCCTTGTCTACAAAAAAATTTCATCCAAAAGACAATCTTCCGCCACTTACAGAGAATCAAGTTGTGGTGACGTAAAGTTCACAGTGTGGAGACACCAATTCTCAGTTTAATATATTGCAGATTATTTGATATATTGCAGATTATATTTATTTTCTTTTATATACATTTTGTTCTACTCTTCCTATATTGAAAGCTATGTCTTGCCCATGATATATGCATGTACATATATTTTGCTTACGTACTTGCCATTTATTATCAATGCACGAATAGCATCGTTCATTGAAATAACATTTTAGAACCATTTAGAGTATACGATTTTGCCACATACATGTACATATACTATGAAAAAATTAAACTTTTTTAGACCCCAAAAGTGTTTTTTCTTTCTCATCGAGTTTTAACACTACAGCCGAATGTGCTTTATGTAATGTTGGTTATCCCTACCCCTTTTCCCCTTGCAGTACTATACGTACATATACTGCATGTGGTGTAATAGTTCGGGAGTTTGTTTTTTCAACTGCCAAAGCTACTGAAGACAATATCAAGTGCGGACTAAAGCTGATAAGATTTGGAATTTACCAGCATTGATAAAATCAACTATTAGTGAATAGCCAATTTATAAATTGGATTTGTTATTTTTTTGTTTAGATACATAACTAATTTTGGGTAATAGTATTTAAAAAAAGCATTTTATATAGTTCATGTTCTAGATGACGGAAAATGTACCATCATGCATGGGCAAGGAATTTTTACATAATGGGATTTATGACTTGGATTTTTCGTTTATAAAAAAGCTAATAATAAATAAATAGGTACCAGTCTGATATTGAAAAAAAAGCGTTGTGTAATTTTTAATAAATAAATAAATGGGTACCCCCCGCCTCCCATATGGTTATAACTGGTGAAAAATATGTTTTCCTGTGGCCGGGAAAAAAATGATCAAAAAGTAAAAAAATATATGTAATAAAGACTGTGTTGTGGTATGAAAAAAAGATTTTTGAAGGGAAATATATACCCTGCCGCTTTTCAAAATTATAATTCCTTGTCACCATTTGTTGATGGAAACAAAAAATCTTAACTTTATTGCGCTTCTACTAAACACAATTATTAGGCCCCTATCAATAATCAGATTTACGGTAGCTACTTATTTGACTAGTAAACATCCTTTTTGTTTTAAAAATGAGGAAGAAACTATATTTGGTCTGTATGGTGAAGTGGAGATTCTAATACATGGACATGCACAAGACACCGCGGAGGTAGCACTATTCCGCAGGAAAAATGGATATTGCATAAAATGTGAAAGGAGTTCATGGAACGAATTTTGCTGACAAATATCATTTTGGTATGAAAATGAAAAAAAAGAAACTTCTTTTCACGGCCACTTGATAAATAGTGCCCCTCCCACCTTCTGCGAATTTTTGTTAGAAAATGTTATTTATCCAAACTACCTGAATTTCTACATTTCGAATTCTGATATCATTTTCCGGTTTCAATGTTCATTTTGTTTCATACATTGGACCTCAATGGGCAGTTCTCCACCGGCAAGTGGTGGGTCTCCATGAGTGGAAAATTCTCGAGAGGGACGTTAAGCTGCAAAATTAATTAAACAACTTGATATTTTTGAGGAGTTTGATGGAGAAGTTTTAACAGACGAATGGATGGACAGACCAGAATAGCAACCATATATAATCACCTGGGGTTTTTCCTCCTAAGTAACAAAATACTGAAAATTTCAAAGGAGGCAGCCGTAACACCCTTCTTTCTCTCTTTCCTTCGCGTACACACCTTTAAACCTATTTACTCTCTCTCTCCGCATGTCCATCGTGCGTCACATGCAGCTGCTTGGGGAAGAGAAAAATCCAAAATTTAAGTTAAAACTAACCTTTTATAAAAATTCATACTCTCTGATGCTACAAACGTTTTAGTTTCAGAGGGAATGTTTTTTTTTAAAGGCTAGTTTAGCATATTTTTTGGATTTTTCAGTCGTAATATTATTTTTGTGATTTAAAAAGTCAAAGGACCCTGGGGGGGGGGGGGGTCCCGTCCCAAGTGGCTGTGTAGCCTGGGTGTGATTATTTTACCATTGTGAGTAAAAACCTGCGGCAGATCTGGTCTTTTAATTGTTTATGGCGAAAGTGAAGCAAAAAATGAATATTTTTACAAATATAAAAAAATAAATACATGTAAAAGACATTCTCAGCATCTTATGTGAGATGAAACTCGTTGTATTTAATGTTTTAGAAATTTGAAGGCCCTAACTTCTTTCATATCCAAATTTTATTCATACATTACTGTACATTACCTTACCCAAGCTCGAATTTATTGCAACAGTGGCGGGGAAAGGGTGGAGGGAAACTAGCCTTTCAATAATCATTTAGATTAGTAATTATTTGAAAAAAAAATAGATGAGTCCCTTGATATCATGTATCTGCAAGCTTGACCGATGTAGGGGCATTAATTTTGCAAGTAAACTTGTATATAATTTACGATAGATCCGCTCCCGATTGAGTGTCAACTGATCACAATTTTATTTCATGCTTGATTTCATCTTTTGAACCTCTACAGCTCATGCGCATTAGCTCCAACTTCCGACATCGTGATTAGTATTCTTAGACAATCCCATGGTCGGATGAATTCCATTTCCCGCCATCTCACTGGAATCTCCAAAAACTTAGTTAATCGTGAAAGGTAGTGTTTCTAAGTATATTCAACAATATTTATTTTGTATTTAAAGCTTATAAAACAATTGCTAACAAGGTTGAAATGGGCGCAATGGTAAAATCCAGCGAACAGTCAAACCAGACTTAGGTCGGGTACTTTACTCTACGAGTCGTAAGACCCCCCCCCCCTCCCCAATAAAAAAGTTTTGACTTGTCATTATTATGGAAGCATTCTCAGGTAGCATCACAGGTGCTTATGGACCCCCCCCCCCTGGAAAAATAAAGTAGAATTGACGTTTATATCTAAAAATCTTGCCACTTTAAATTGATGTTTTTAATAAACATATATTATATTTTGTATGGAATACACTGCAAATATGTACTAGAGAAAATAATTAGAGAAAGAATCCAAATAGAAAAATTTTTTGACCTGGAATGTTGGTAGCTGCAGAAGTGTAGCTCTCCGAAAAAATATTTTGACAGACAGGAGAGTTACAGTAAAACTGTATATTTATTGCGCACAAAAAGTGCGCTGTGAAAAAAATCTTGAATTATTTCTCCATGTTTTAAACTGTCAATCCTCTCAAAATATTACTTACTGTGTGTTCCTAACATATTCTTTCACTGTTTCCACAAAAAAAATTCCTTATGAGCCCTCCTGGTCCTGAAATTGAGATCATCGAAAATTTCATCTATTTATACTGCCATTTTGGTTTGCAAGATAATTTGGTTCAGTGCACTTCATGAAGATGTCAACTACGAGAGTACTTCATAGAGGAGTAAGGAATTTTTTAAAATCTATCTTTTTTGCAATTGAGTTAAGAATTTGGAAGAATAAATCCAGAACTAAGCGCAACTTTTTGTGCACAATAATTATACAGTTTATACAATGGGTGGCACTGTAGCTCTCCGGTCTGTCAAAATATTTTTTTCGGAGAGCTACTGAGTTCTGCAGCTAGGATGTAGGATGTATATACAAGGGAAGGGGGTTGTTGTTCACAAGCAATTTTATGACTTTATATAATATTCATTTTAAAATGAGTTGCTACTACCAGACAATTAAGTTGAACAGTTTTATATATAAACAAAAGATGCACTTGTATTTCTATTGTTTGGTAATTGTATACACATGCTACAACCTTACGTGGGAGAGGCATGGCTAAGTATATATTTACTTTTCATTGTGCTGAATAATTACCAACCAATTGTCATTGTTGGCCACAATTGACCAGTTGCTTCATAGATAGAAAACTTTCAGACTTTTGAACACAAATTCCTTTGTTTGATGTAATTTTTTCCCTAATTGTTTTCAGAACAACACAAAGTTAAAACAAAGTAAAAAATAATTTCTGAATCAAATTAGTGCAACTTTTTTGCTTGCTGAAAAAATGCATAAATGAAGAAATATGTGTAACTTATGTGTTAGTTTCTTGATGTAATGTAAATTTTATGTTGTTGAAATCATGGTTCCCAGGGTAAGGGTTGGGCCACAATAATGAGTACAATTAGTTTAATGGAATTGCTTAAACTTATGTGGAAGCTTTCTGAGGTAATGCATATTCCATATTGTTCAAATCATGACATCCCCCCTTCCCCAGGTTAGGGTGAGGCCACAATAGGGAATCAAAGTCTTACAAGGGAAAAATCTGATGGAAAAAAGCAAACCTATATATTTTGACCAAACTTGCAAGGATAATACATCTAAGGATGCACACTACCAGGCTTTTGTTGGTTGCTGAATCTGATCTACATTTTCTTTATGAATGGTGAGGTTAAAGTTTCTCAAGCAAGTTCATTCTAAAGTATATAACTATAGGCCCTAATGTTGACCAAACTGCATGGATGATGCATCTAAGGATGCACATTACCACGCTTTCTTCAGATGCTGGATACATGACCTACATTTTCCAGATGAGTGACCAAATGAAAGTTTATGGGACAGGTTCATTCTGAAGTAACTAAAAGCCCTAATTGACCAAACTTGCATGGAGGATACATCTAAGGTTGCACACTACAAGGCTTGCTTCAGATAATTCTGATTTTCCCTGTGAGTGCATGGCCAGGTTAAATTTTTTAGAGTAAATTTATAAAAAAGTAAATACATGTACAAGGTCTAATGTAGACCAAACTTGCATGGACAATACATCTAAGAATGCACACTACAAGGCTTGCTTCAGATGCTGGACTTAACCTATTTTTTTCCACATGAGGGACCAGGCAGGTTTAGCTTTTGTGAGCAGGTGCATTTTAAAGTAAATATTTTCCATTATGACCTTGATCCAACTTTCATGGATGATACATCTAAGGATTCACACTAATTGACTTGCCTGGATGTTGGATTTGACCTACATTTTTAGCTCACCTAAGCCAAAGGCTCAAGTGAGCTTTTCTGATCACATTTTGTCCGAAGTCTGTCCATCTAGCTGTCCGTCTGTCCATCCACCTGTAAACTTTTCACATTTTCAACTTCTTCTCAAGAACCACTGGGACCATTTTAACCAAACTTGGTTTGGTAATGGGAGTTTAAATTATAAAGGGCCAAGTCTCCTTCCAAGGGGAGATAATCAAGAAAAGACCAAAATAGGATGGGGTCATTCAAAAATCTTCTTCTCAAGAACCAGTGGGCCAGAAAAGCTGAAACTTATGTGGAAGCATCCTGGGGTAATGTAGATTCTAAATTGTAGAAATCATGACCCGGGGTTA